CTAATGAAATAAGTGAGTCAAATCAGTTAATACAATCAGCTAGTCAAAATTAACTAACAAAATAATAGCTCAGTGGAGCCACTTCCCCTTTCCGCGGCTTAGACTTGGGATCGAGACACACCCCGGGCATTCCCACCCACAAATCCCTCCTGTGATAGGAAGGACTATGGGGCCAGCTTACCACTAAAATAAATAAATAAATATGCAAACAAATGAGTTTATAGATAGGCATCAAATTATTCTAAACTTGACTTTAACTTTGTATGATAGGGATAACATCTAACTTCTTTGACTATTTATATACTCCCGCGGTCTATTAATGATAGTCTCTTGTTGGTAATATTCATGAAAAGTAGGGAGAGATTAAGAGATAGTAATAAAAGTACATAAAAAAGTTAAATTTGCACAAATATTGTTACAAATACACCTGGTTATTGGGCGGGTCGGTGCGGGTTGGTTACGGGTCGGGTAAAAGAGGGTCACATTTTATAGGGTCAATATTGGCTCAGGACAATGCGGGTCGCGGTTCAATAGCGGGTCGATAATGGGCGGGCTTACAAAATATCAATTAAAAAAATATTGGACAAAGCCATTATTTTTACATTACCTATTTAATTGATAAAGAAAATAGGTAATGTAAAAAAGCCATCGATAGGTAATGAAAATATTGGACAAAGCCATTATTGGACAAAGAAAATAGGTAATGTAAAAAAGCCATTACCTATTTAATTGACAAAGAAAATAGGTAATGTAAAAAAGCCATTATGGCTTTTTTACATTACCTATTTAATTGATAAAGAAAATAGGTAATGTAAATAGGTAATGAAAATATTGGACAAAGCCATCGATATTTTCTTTATCAATTAAATTGGAAAAACATTTTGGCCCTATATTGACCCTGTCCAATAAGGGTCATGTCTATTAAAGGTATTTTAAGCTTGGCCCTGACCCTATTATCATTAGGCTACCCTACCCAATAACCACCTCTAGTTGCAAATCAAGGGAAATTTTGGAAAAAAAACATATATTACTAGTACTTGAAAAAAGCAAATGAGATTATCATTTTGGGACTTAAAATTAATCATAAGGGACTATCAATAAGGGATGGAGGGAGCATAAGATTTAAAAAATTATCTTAAATCTTATTAGGACTATATAAAATTCAAAGTATTTGGAAATCAGTTCTGAATGGTTAAGTTGCAGTTCCTTTTCAATTGTTATTGCAAAGGATCGAATACGAATCCTCCCTACCAAATGTAGTCCCAAATCTCAATCACCATTACACCAAAAGTCAATTAATAGTTAATTTATCATTTAGCTGCCATGAATACATGATATTTAAGATAATTGAAAATAGGTATTCTAACATTTTGAAACACGCTTTACATTTCTATGGGTGTTTTTTAAAAATTGTACTCGTTCTTGTTTATTCTGCAATTGACAAATTTCAACCAAAACTCAGACATTTGTCCGTTTGCCTCATTCTTTTAAGGGGGCGTTTGGTTGGGGGGTTTCAAGAAACGAAATGGGAATCAACAGCTATGATTCCCTTTAATGTTGTTTGTTTGTCTAATTTAATCATTCCCTTTCCCCTCTGATTACCCAATTTCCTTCCATCATGATTCCCTAGCCCCCCTAAGGGAATCATCCATTACCCCAAAATCCTCTACACCCAACAACCATAACCAACTTTGACCACCATTAAAACATACACCACCACCTGACTTGGTCTACCGGAAACCTCCCACTGCCACAACCGTCCCCACCGACGACCCCACTGTAGCCGTCACCATCACCGACGACCCCACCGTAGTAGTCACCATCACCGACGACCCCACCTTCGAACGCCCCTACAATTCCAACGCTCTACGAAACCACTTTGAAACTACCATGATACAACCACAACCATTAATCAAAACCACCACAACCACCCCGAAGCCCCACCACCACCAGAAAAACCACATACAACCTCCCAATTACTACTAATATTAAAAAAAAAATTATAAGTGAAAAAATTACCTTGTTATATCATCAAATATGGCTTTAGATGGTCAAATGCACCCATAAAAACTCCAGATCTAGAGTTTTTAAGGGTGAATTTGACCTTCCAAACCTTTAATTTTACAAGTATATATATTTCATGGTGGAGGTACTAGAATAAGATGAGAGAGAAAATGTCGGTTATGGGGCCTTAGAGGGGCAGCGACGTGAAGGTGGCGGTGTGAACAAGTGGCGGTGAGAATAGGGCCGGGAAGAGATCAAGGCTGGAGGTGTGGACGGTGTTCCATTAATATGAGGGAGAAGACTGGAAGTTTTTTTTCAGAAGTGGTGGAAGACAACTTATTACTTATGTAACCAAACAACATACTACATTAAAGGGTATCATTTCCTTTCCCCCTCAATCCCTTTCTTGATTTCATTCCGTTTACCCCGTCTGAACCAAACGGCCCCCTAAATGGAGTACGATTCCGTAACTTTTACGGAGTAATGCATATTTTTACACTTCGTGTCGTCTTTCTTACTCCAAATTAAACAAATAACACCATTCCACTTCCAGGGATCGGAAACCGTAGCTACCTAGGAGTCTAAGTCTCTAGGAACAAACCCAAGGGAGACATTTGTTCATTTGTTGTTTGTGTGACAAGTTTGAAGGCAAACTTCCATGATTTCATGAACTAAAAATCTGATTTTCTCAAGCATATAAGTATATAACATAGATGTTTTGATCCAAGTTGTAAACATTTTTTTTAAGATTTTGAAGTTCGGATTCAATGGATATCAAGGATTAGGAAAGTACTACTGAATTTGGATCATCAATAGCTACGATTGCTTAGTTGCCATCAACCAAAAGATCTCAAAAAAAATTACTGAGTTCAATGTTAATTTCCTAATACCCGATTCCATTAAATGGTTCATAATAAGAAGTTACACTTACGCTTTATTTGGATAGCAAAGAAGGAAGGAAAAGAAGGGGAGGGAAATGGAGGAAGGGAAGGGAAAAGAAAGGGAGGGAGAGGTGAGCTCCATTTTCCCTCCAAATCTCTCCAATTTTGGAGAGATTATGTTTATTAAAGAGAGAAGGAAAATGGATCCCTCCCTCTCCTTTCCCTTCCTTCCCCCAATCTTTTACCCAAACAAGAGATTTTGTCCCCCTCCATTTCTCTTCTCTTCTTTTCCTTCCATTTCTTCCTATCCAAACGAAGTGTTAATGAAAATATGCCACTGTAAACTTATGAGAATATCAAGTCAAGATCAACGTGATCACCAAATCCTCTGAAAAATTGGCTGCTATATTCCATCAGAGAAACGAAAAAAAAAAAACTGTATTTATTGGAGCATATAACCACAGTAATAAAGCACAAATTTCTCATCATAAGAACAAGTACCATGTACTTGGAAATACTAATGCTCTGACCTATCATCCGCAGCAGTTCCAATGTACTCTATATAAGGTTTTCCCAAGTAAAATGTTTCAGAATCTCAATGCATAAGTTCAAAGCAAGAAACAATTTTGGCACTCTTTATACATAATCAACTCCTGTTCAAGGTACTGAACTCAGATACTACATATACAGTAATACAGTTACGGACTTACGAGACCACCCCAAAGCAGAAAGCACTAAAGCAGACATGAAAATAGGGGAAGGGCAAGCAAGCCGGATTTATGATAGCTGCTTCATAAATGGCTAAGAATGATGACCCTCTTTGGGCTGCTTGGGGATTGATCTTCCAGTATAATCTGATTGAATATCAGAAGGAAATCTAAACATCTAATGAAGAAACTTTGGATAAATGACCTATGAAAGTCATGATAAGAAAGAACATCTATGATCAGCACCAAACCACCAGCAGCCTGTAGGCTATAATCTTGTAAAGTACTTCGTCTATAACCTTCTAACAATCACCTCTTACACCAAGCTCAACACTTTCAGACTTTCAGCAAACAGCCCCAAATTGTGACCCAAACTCGAGAAATCCAACAATACAATCACAAATAGATTCAACAACACAATCCCAAAATATAACCCAAGTTCAAGAAATCCACCAACAATTCCAATATATGAACAAACTCAAAATAATCAACAATACAACCCCAAAAACATAGCCCAAGCTCAAGAGATACAACAATACACCTAAATATGACCTAAACTCAAAAGATCCAGCATTATAATCCCAAATATATCATGAGCTCAAGAAATTCACCAATACAATTCCAAATTTCCAATATATGAACCAAACTCAAGATATTCAACAATTCAATCCCAAATTGTAATTCCAGATTTCCAGCTCAGGGAATTCAACATTAAAATCCCAAAATATGACACAAGCTAAGAAAATCAACACTACAATCCCAAATTGTAATTACAGATTAAGGCATTCAACATTACAATCCCACAATATGACACAAGCTCAAGAAAATCAACACTACAATCCCAAATTGTAATTACAAATCAAAGAATTCAACATTACAATCCCAAAATATGACCCAAGCTCAGGAAATCAAACTACAGTCCCAAAAGATGATCCAAGCTTGGGAATTTCACTGATAAAATTGCAAACTATGACCCCAAGCTCAAGAAAATCAACAATACAAACCCAAAATATAATCCAAGCTCAAGAAATTCTACAGTACAACCTCAAAACACGAGTTCTCCGAGTAGTACCAAAGAAGATCGGATAGACTTTCACTTGGTACTGCACCAAACAATTCTCTAAATCTTGCAACACCAACTACAGCAAGGCAACATAATCACAATTCTACAGCCCAAACAAACATAAAATAAACAAACGGAAATCAGTATCAAATTCATTGGTTTTTATCTTTTGTGTAGAAACCAAACCAAAGCAATCCCCAATTCTTCAACATACCTAAATAAATTCACTACACTTCTCAGATCCAACACAGGTAATTGGGTATGTGTTCAAGTATTCGGCTTTGAGATCAGAATCAACATAACATAAAACATAAACTTCCAATCAAACAAAAATTACATTTAATCCAAATAAAACATCATATTTATAAAACAAAAGGATAATCACTATCAATCAACAATTAGATGTAAACTTAGGTTCAGAAGCCAGATCAAACTGCCGAATTTGCCAAACAAACCATTATTCTTCATTACAATTAACTTGACAATAAGACACTCCCTTTGAACTCCTCAAACCCATAAACTCTAGATCAGATCAATCACACTAATGTTACAACAATACAAACCCCCAAAAATTTTCTTACCCAGAATTAAATCAATTAAAATTTACAACCCAACTAATTTTGGGGGTGATAATTATCAATTATTTCCTAATTTTAACTACTTCCTTCTTGCTTTCGCTTTCAGATTGTGCCTTCTTCTTCGCTAATTTCTCTTGCAACGCTTTTGCATCCCTAATCAAATCAAACCCAAATTATAATTGATTCTCAGAATTTGAAAAATATTTGATTAATCATACAAATCTGAAAAAGGGTACCTTTCTCGACGCTGCTCAGGTGTTAAACCGTCAGTTTTAGACGTCTTCGTTTTGCTAGAATTGCGAGCTTGAGCTCTTTCACGATCTTTCTCCCTTTGATTTCCGCGTTAGCTTGAATTAAGGCTCAAACAAAGAACACCCAGAAAATTTACGAAAAAAGTTAACAAATTAAACAAAAGTTCGTTTAATTCCCGAGAAAACCCAGATCAAGTTGAATTCTTTAATTTCAAAAAAAATAAAAATTGAAAGGTGGGTTTTTTCGGGAATTAAACAAAGTTAGATTTAATAATGTTATAAAAATAGAAAGATGGAAAGGATATGACTCGTAATGTCAAGATTAAAGCGACGAAGAAGAGAATAAAAGCGTCGTAAAACAGGAGATTGATTGAGTTTTTGTGAGAAAAAGAGTGCAGAGTTTGATGGGTAGATGGTTTGAAGGTTGAAGATAAAGATGGAAGGAAGGTTCGAGAGAGTGGAAAAGTGTAAAAAAAGGAATATGTGAGTTGCGATGAGATAGAAGGGTCGAGAAGCCGCGGTTAATTGGAAATTGCCGATTAGAGGTGGTGGTCATGGATCAGGCCGATGGCAAAATAAAGATGGGCTGGGATGAGTCGGGTTAAGGTTCGGACCGAATATGCTTGTCCATAACCTCCGTAAGGTCTTGTTCACTTCACCTTTAAAAAATAACTAGTTTTGTGCCCCGGCGATGCTCGGGTAGTTTATGGACTTTTAAGATAAAATTATACTATTATGATTTAATTTGATTGAAAATAGATAGAATTCTAAATTATCTATTTTTGCTACAAAGTCAATTTATATTGATACTTGGCGAAAAATTAAAACACTAAATGATGTTGTCTTGTGGCCTAATTATAAATTTATTATTTGGTATTTTATAGAAGAAATAACTCTAAACTAATAATCTTATTCTAAAATTCTATCCTAATCTAATATCATATAACTAATATATAAAGCTAAACTTTTAGCCAGGTCACGAGACAGCGACATTTGGCATTCTAACTTTTCGCCAATTGTCGCGCCACGTTGGATAGATTTAAATACACTTCATAAGATAAAAAAGTTAGTTTAAAATTCTATTTTGAATCAAATTTGGATAGAATTTTAGGATAAAATTGTTAATTTAAAGTTTTATTTTCAATGAAATAAAATTTGAGTGTCGCGCCACGTTGGATAGATTTAAATCGACTTCATAAACAACCCGGGCATCGCACGGGGCACAAAACTAGTATATATATAAAGGGAAGTTTTTTCCCGAGTTTTTAGAGAGCCACGTAGGATCTAATTTTCTCAGCGCCCCACGTAGGATTATAAATCTTAGAAGTAGCCAATTAAATACGAGATTATTAATTTCTTTTAGAATTAAATAATTTAAATGCCATGTAAGCAAAATTGGCAAATGAGATTTTTAATTTTTAATTAATTAAATATTATATATTATCTTTTAATATTAGGAATTTTATCTAAATATATAACAAATTTTAAAAAAAATCAAACAAACCGTGCATCGCACGGGAATCTTTCCTGACAATATATTTATTTTTCCTTCTTATATTTTTAATTGACTTATCTTAAATCAAATTTTTAAAATAAATTTGTTTTAAAATATTTTATACCATCAATTTTAATTGATATTTTTGTACCGTACAACTAATCAATTTTTTTAATTTTTTTTTAAAATTAGATCTTTAAATATTTTCGTATCTTTTTTGTAGCTATCATTTGTATTTTTTGTAAGCTAACCTATATAAAGCATATTGTACTACTCCCTCCGTCTATTAATTACATGCCTACTTCTTTCATTAATCACATAATAAAGAGAAGTAGACATATAAATAAGGAACGGATGGAGTTGATGTAAACGTTCTATACCGTATTTTACCCTCACTTTATAGTTATTTCCGTATGGTTTTTGAGCTCTACGGAGCTAAAAAATAAATAAATAAATAAATAAACCGTGCATCGCACCGGCTTCATCTAGTTTGATTGAAAGTAGAATTCTTACCTAATTTTTTTTATCTTATGAAATCTATCCAAGGTGGCGCGACATTTGACGTTTGTATCATATCTAATATATATATATATATATAAAAAGGGGAGTTTTTTCCTGAGTTTTTAGAGAGCCACGCATGATTTAATTTTTTCAGTGCGCCACGTAGGAATATAAATTTTAGTGGTAGCCAATTAAATAAGAGATTATTAATTTCTTTTAGAATTAATTAATTCAAATGCCATGTAAGCAAAATTAACGAATGATATTTTTAAGTTTAAATTAATTAAATATAAATATTATCTTTTGATATTAGAAATTTTATCCAAATATGTAACAAATTAGCACATAAATACAAAAAAAAATAAAAAAAAAAATAAATAAATAAATTTCAAACAAATCGTGCATCGCACGGGCTTCATCTAGTGAAGTCTATTTAAATCTATTCAAGGTGGCGCGACACTTGGCGAAAAGTTGGAATGCCAAGTGTCACTATTTCGTGACCTAAAAGTTTAGCTTTATATATTAGTTATATGATACTTCGTATTAAGTAAATATAATTTCAGTTCAGTAAAAATAAGTTCAGTTCAATAAAATTCAGTTATCTTAAAGAAAAATTACAATAGAAAATCAGTAAAATAATTTCAGTTCAACAAAAATAATTTAACTTCAATAAAATTAATTTAAGTTCGGCAAAAATAATTTAAGTTCAGCAAATATAATTTTGTTTCAGTAAAAATAATTTTAGTTCAGCAATAATAAGGTGAAGTGAACGGGGACTAACCAGATTTAATGATTTATCATGCCTTTTTGGGGTGAACCAACAAAATTATACGTAACTAAACATGTGAAAAATGCAATTTTTGCATTCTTCGGTCACCTTTTTGTAGTCTATGCACATTGAAAAAAATATATAGTCCTTTGTCAAATATATATATATATATATATATATATATATATATATATATATATAGTAATGTGAGTTTTTTTTTTTTTTTTTTTGAAGTTTAGTAATGTAAGATCTTGTTAGACTCCTTTTAAAGTTTACAATAATTTTTTTTATTTTTTTATTTTTTATTTTTTTGTTTAAATTCTACTATATACTTCTGTATAATTTAAGGTATTAATGTTATAAAGTGTGAAATTTCTAATTTTACCATTAAAAATAAAGGAAGAATATTATTAATCAAATTAAGGCCTGTTCACATTTACTTAATTTCAGTTCAGTTCAGCTCCAATCAGTTCAGTTCAGTTCAGTTCATTTCATCTCTAATCAGTTCAGTTCAGTTCAGTTTAGCTCCTAATTTCCCTCTCTCATAAAATATTCAGTTCAGTTCAATTCAGCTTCAATAGTTTAGTTTAGTTCAGTTTAGCTTATTTCAGTTAATGTGAACAGACCCTTAATGCATTGAAAACTGACATAAATTTGACTTTGTCAAACAAAGAGTAATTTTGTGGTCAAAGAAATGGATGGATTTGGATATGATTAGCTACTCAAATTTAAAGAGGACATCTAAAATAGCTAGTATAATCCTTTATCTCTTACGAGTATTAAGGGGGAAAAAATGATATTTTGAAAGAAATTTTCAAGATGAATCCAATTAGGGCTTGTTCTCTTACGTTGAAATTCAGTTCAATTCAGCTCAACTTTCAATTTCCTTCTCTTATAAAATATTCACTTCAGTTCAGTTCAGTTCAGCTCTCAGCTCAGTTCAGTTCAGTTCAGCTCAGTTCAGTTTAATTCAGCTCAGTTCAGTCAATGAGAACAGGACCTTACATTCCATATAATAGGATTTTGTTATTTATAATAGTATATTTATTTATTTATTTATTTTATATATAGTAGAAGTTTTTAAATGTTGATTAACAAATTCAAAGTGTAACCATTGAAAAGAGACCGAGAGAGTATTAGCTACAATTTCTTTTGGTAGCTAGTGAAATTGATTAGATAGACAAGTGATGACCAAAAAAGAGCGAGAAAAAGATACTATTTGATCAAACGGAGTGAAATCATTTGTCTATTTATTGTTAATTGCATTATATTGCAATAATCATCATATCTCAAAAAGTATTAATCCTCTATCTAATTAGAGAATTGAATCGTTACAATACTACAACACAATATAAATCATGACATAGCAATAAGACATGTAGTAGTATAAGTTTATCAAGGACATTTGGGCTTTCCTTCCTTTGTTTTCCAATTATTGTAGCATGGACATTCTTCTCTCCTCCCATAAGTGCCTGATGGTACGCACAAACATTTATCACAGCACTTGTTGCAAAAAAATAGACAAGGCTTCCTATGTTGAGTTGCCGAGCACCGGTAATCACATGCTGCCGGACAATCTGCGAATTTGAAGCATCCGATTAGCTATTAGTTGCGCGAAATGAGAAATTCTTTTCCCTTGTTGCATAACGTGGATGATGTGGTGTTGCTATACAAAAACTATCTTATTAGGAAGAATAATAGGCAAAATTTCTCCGATTTTTGAAGAAATGTTAGTGTGTAATTGTAAAATTTCATGCTTATATTTTGGCCATTGACCCATTTTTTTTTTCTTGTTTATATGGAAATTATCATATGAGCGAATATTTACCCTAATTAACCAACACTAGACGAAACCTAGCAACCTTACAATTTTCAATCTTAAAAAAAATGAGGAAAAAAAGTGCTACATACCTTCTAATTTCACCGAACCTTCGCCACCAGCCTAATTATAAACGATGAATTACATAAACACAAAGTGAAAGAAAAATTAGATTTATTTGAATTGGATAGAATTTAACGAATACACACAACTTATATAGAGGTAGTTAGAGTAAACGTAGATAGAGATGTCAAAAACTTACCATTGAAACTTCAATAATTATCATTGACACAAATAGGAGCAGCAAAAACTTGACAACAGCCATACTAGAAATACTTCAATTCAACTATTAGTATTTACTTGTGTGCGTTTTTGAAGGGATGGTTAATGTGTATATGTTGGTGACTAATCATGTATTATCATGTTGTTAAGTGCCCCTTATATAGAGATGTCACTTATCCTTTGGAAGGACATGAATTATTGAAATTTGGGAACAATCTTTTTAAATATGGTTATGTTCCATCAATTTGGAAATTTGGGATTTTTTTTTTTCATTCCAACTCATTCTAGCTTATGTGGCTGTATCAAATGAAATCAATTGTGCATATTTCTTCCCTAATTAATAAAATGTGGAATATGGAAAAGATATATTTGTGTTTATGTAATAATTATTGAGATAACAAATCTCAAATGATCATTTTCATCTTAATATTAT